ATAAAAAATAAAGAATGGCTAAATAGATTTGACATTCTTCACATAATGGAATACTGTACAACAGTTAAAATTAATGAACTAATCTATATGTATCATAAATAATGTATCATAAATAAACGTCTAAAGCATAATGTAAATGAAAACAAGGCATAGGATATTTAGAGTATAATAACATTGAAATAAATGTTAATGTCACACAAAATACCATACTGTTTAGATAGATAGATAGATAGATAGATAGATAGATAGATAGAATATAAAACCATATATGGCAAGAATACACACCCAACCTCAAGACAGTAGTTACCTCTGATGATAGGAAGAGAATTGGATCAAGTAATAGTACAAAGGATCATCAAGCATATCAGTAACCTTTTATTTCTCAGAAGAAAAAAAATCTCAAACAAATATGGCAATATGCAAATTGGTTACATTTGAGTATGAGTACATTGAGTATTTTTATAATTGTCATAATTTAGCAGTGTATATATAATAACACAGTAATGACTGACTTCCTTGTAACCACAAGTAGTTAATTACAGCAAATAAAATTATTTCCAAGGGCTTTTCTCGTTTTCGGAATGTTGAGTACTTTCTGAAGGTATTTAGGGTCTACTGAATGTTAAGAACAGTGAGTGGTTCTTGATTGCTCAAGCAGTGATTGGAGTGATTATGATTTACAATTCTGTAAGATGGCATGTCCATAATTTCCACCCCTCTGTAACTTAACATGTAAAAACAAGTATGTTTAGAAAGAAAGAAACTGTTATGCATTAAGATTAAAAGATCAGTTTATTTCCTACAAAGAAAAAAATGTAGTATCTCTCAGCCTCTTTGCCAGTTTCACAGGTAACAAACTTTGCAAGTTTATATTTTCTTTAGGGTGAATTATTTTATTTGGGAACCAATAACTGTTGTATTTGCATTCAGCATTTTTGTAGTTTTTTTTACTCTGAAAGTTTAGACACCAGGTGTGTAAATTAGTAAAGGGTGCTATACACTTTTGTTCTATCAAAAAATATTAAACATGATTGTTTCTTATATGATAAGTGGCACTACTGACATAAGCATAATCAAACATACTTTTTTCTAGCTAGTGCCAAAATCTGTCTTATTATTAAAGAAAACTTCTATAAGCAGATCTGTTGATAACTTGCCCTAATTGAAGGAATTTTACTTGATTTTATGTTCATTGTCTTAGACAAAAATTTGACGAAATCATATAAATGTTCAGTGGAAGATACTCTGTTAGATTGTATTAAACGAAAGGTTTTAGATTTGGAGGCCATTCTGCTAAGGCATAGATTTGTAGGAGCTGCTGCTGACCATTACTTGGGCATGCTACTGACCGCTAACTGACAAGTAGGTTGTTAGAAATTTCTTCTAAGTGAGTAAAAAATGTGTATAGTCATCATGTAGTGAAGATATTTACATTTCTGTGATGGATTTAATGTTTTGAGTATTAAATATTTTATTTTATTTTTATTTTCTTTATTAATTTATTTTTGTTACAGATGTTTCTCCTTTTTTCCCCATTGACACCCTCCTTCCCTCCTCCCCCACCCCGTCCCCAACTTTGTTGTCCATATCCATCAGTTATGCATACATGCATATAAGTTCTGTGGTTTATCTCTTCCCTCTCCCCACCTCCTCTTCTGAGGGTTGTCAGTCTGTACCCTACTTTCACGTCTCTGGGTCTACCCTATTCCTCAGACTGTTATGTTCCTTATATTCCACAAATAAGTGAGATTATGTGATATTTGTCTTTGCTTGGCTTGTTTCACTTAGGATAATACTCTCCAGGTCCCTCCATGTCGTCTCAAAGGAGAAGAGATCTTTCTTACAGCTGCATAGTACTCCATTCTGTATATGTACCACGGCTTTTTTATTGATTCGTCTACTGATGGACACTTGGGCTGTGTCTAGATCTTAGCTATTGTAAATAGTGCTGCTACAAACATGGGGGTACATATATTCTTTCCGATTGGTGTTTCAGGCCTCTTAGGGTATATTCATAAAAGTGGGATCACTGGGTCAGATGGCAAGTCAATTTTTAATTTTTTGAGGTAACACCATATTGTTTTCCATAGTGGCTGCACCAGTCTACATTCCCACCAGCAGTGTACTAGAGTTCCCTTTTCTCCACACCCTCGCCAACACTTGTTGTTTGATGATTTGTTGATGGCGGCCATTCTGACAGGTGTGAGGTGATACCTCATTGTTGTTTTAATTTCCATCTCTCTGATGATTAGTGATGTTGACCATTTCTTCATATGTCTCCTAGCCATTTGTATGTCCTGTTTGAAGAGGTGTCTATTTAGTTCCTCTGCCCATTTTTTAATTGGGTTCTTTGTCTCCCTTTTGTTGAGTGGTATGAGCACTCTATATATGTTTGAAATTAACCCCTTATCTGATACATTATTGGCAATAATGCTCTCCCATACAGTGGGTTGCCTTTCCATTTTGATGATTGTATCTTTTGCTGTGCAAAAGCTTTTGAGTTTGATGTAGTCCCATGTGTTCATTTTCTCCTTTGTTTCTGTTGCCTTAGGTGATGAAATTCTGCTGCATATGATATCCGAAATTTTGTTGCCTACATTTTCTTCTAGGATTTTTATGGATTCACGAGTCACATTTAAGTCTTTTATCCATTTTGAGTTTAGTCTTATGTATGGTGTAAGTTGATGGTCTAGTTTCATTTTTTTGCATGCGGCTGTCCAATTTTCCCAACACCATTTATTAAAGAGGCTGTCTTTACTTCATTGTATGCTCTTGCCACCTTTGTCAAATATTAATTGAGCATATTGCCTTGGGTCTATTTCTGGATTCTCTGTTCTGTTGCGCTGGTCCATATGCCTGTTCTTGTGCCAGTACCAGGCTGTTTTGATTGAAGTAGCTTTGTAGTATAACCTGATATCCAGCATTGTGATCCCACCTACTTTGTCGTCCTTTTTCAAGATTGCTGTGGCTATTTGGGGTCTTTTTTGGTTCCATATGAACTTTTGAAGTATTTGTTCTAGTTCTGTGAAATATGTCATTGGTATTTTAATGGGGATTGCATTGAATCTATGGATTGCTTTGGGTAGTATGGTCATTTTAATGATGTTAATTCTTCCAATCCATGAATGAAGTATGTGCTTCCACTTTTTTATATTTTCCTCTATTTCTTTTTTCAGTGTCCTGTAGTTTTCTGCAAATAGGTCCTTTACTTCTTTGGTTAAGTTTATTCCTAGGTATCTAATTTTTTTTTTGCCGCGATGATAAATGGGATTGTTTTTTCAGTTCCTCTTTCTGTGAGTTGATTATTGGTGTATAACAATGCCGTTGATTTCTTGATGTTAATTTTGTATCCTGCTAGTGTACCAAATTCATTTATTAAGTCTAGTAGATTTTTGATGTAGTCTTTAGGGTTTTCTGTGTATAATATCATGTCATCTGCGAATAATGACAGTTTCACTTCCTCCTTCCAATTTGGATCCCTTTTATTTTTTCTTCCTGTCTGATTGCTGTGGCTAAGACTTCCAGTACTATGTTAAATAAGAGTGGCAAAAGTGGGCATCCTTATCTTGTTCCTGTTCTTAAGGGAATGCTTTTAGTTTTTGCCCATTGAGTATGATGTTGGCTGTAGGTCTTTCATATATGGCTTTTATTATGTCGACATATGATCCCTCTATCCCCACATTGCTAAGCGTTTTTATCAGAAATGTGTGCTGGATTTTGTCAAATGCTTTTTCAGTGTCTATTGATATGATCATATTGTTTTTATCTTTCATTTTGTTTATGTGGTGTATCACATTTATTGTATACCAGCCTTACATCCCTGGGATGAATCCCACTTGGTCATGCTGAATAATTTTTTTGATGTATTGCTGGATCCGATTTGCTAGTATTTTTTTAAGGATTTTGGCATCTTTGTTTATTAGGGATATTGGCCTGTAGTTTTCTTTCTTTGTAGTGTCTTTTTCTGGTTTTGGAATTGGAATTATGCTGGCCTCATAAAACAAGTTTGGAAGTCTTCCTTTTTCTTGAATTTTTTGAAATAGTTTCATGAGAATGGGTTTCAGTTCTTCTTTGAGTGTTTGGTAAAACTCACCCGTGAAGCTGTCTGGGCCTGGACTTTTGTTTGCTGGGAGAGTCTTGATTACATCTTCAATTTCCTTAGTTATTATTGGTCTGTTCAAGTTTTCTATCTCTTCCTGATCCAGTTTTGGGAGACTGTGTTTATAGAAATTTGTCCATTTTGCTTAGATTGTCAAATTTGTTGCCATAGAATTGTTCATAGTATTTGTTAACAATCTTTTGTATTTCTGTGGTGTCAGTTGTTTGAGTGTTAAATATTTTTTTTAAAGAATGGTGTCTAGTGTCACCAAATTTAGATATGTTAAATGGAACATATGGTCATTTTTCTAAAATCAGACATTTAGTAAATTATTACTTTCGATCCTGTATGAAAGTTCAGACTTAAAAGCAAAGACTCTAGCTCAGAGTGCATTCTGCTTAGCAACCAACTTGTCTGCTGTTTTGCTACTGAATGCACATACTCATGGCTCATAAATGTATCTGCAGCCAGCTGGTCTGAACCAGACAGTACTTCATTCACCTCATTTCCAGGCTAGTCAGGCAAAGACATCAGCTCATTGTTTCTGGTCGTAAGAAAATTTATTTGTAAACTTCAAGTAGTAGCACACTGGTCTCAAAAAAAAAAAAAAAAAAAAAAAAACCCTGAACTATGAGAAATTGCCTTCTAATTCAGGAATGTGAAGTCTTTGGAATTCAGAACTGCTTCACTTAGTTTTTTTCTCCTTAAAAACTCTTGCAAGTATGTTGTTTGAAAAACGTGGCCTCTAAAATCCTAGAAAAGAGATAATAGTTCTTAATAGAAAATAGACGTTAAAATCTAAGAATACTTTTAGAATTATTATTTGAAAACAAGAATTTTGGTTTGTGTTCAGACTTTTATTTTCTACCTTAATCCTCACATGAGGTATTTTCTCTCTTAGAAAACAACAGTTTTGTTGGCATGTGAAGCTCCAGTTTCCTCAGAGTCAAGCTGTGTACATAGAAAAAAGGTATAGTAGCACTGCTCTCTTTTAAGAACTTACTTGTTTTTATTATGTCTCTAATTAAAATAAATTAAGTTAAATGTGATGTCAATGAATGTATGTTAGTAGTAGAATGGATAACTAAGTTATGGTGTGTTGATCCAGTGAAGTGCTGAACACCATGGAAAATGAATGACATACAACTACACACATCAACATGGACGAACCTCAGAAACACTGTTGAGTCAGAAAAGCAAGTTAAGGAAGAGTACATAGAGTACGTTTCTGTTTGTAAATAGGAGGAAAGAAACAAAATGTATACCTCTTGGGACTACCTGTAGAGGTGTTAGAACTTTAAGGGAAATGATTAGCACAGAAATCAAGAGAATGTTTATCACGCGGTACAGGCATTAAGGAGAGAGATGCAGGGAGAATTAAGAGAGCAGAAAACTTTCATAAACTGGGTGGTTATATAGGAAGAGAAAAATGAGTCAAAATTCTATGTAGCGATTACTACTATTAGTAATGTGTGTCCCACAGAAAATACATTATTTTAGACATGCATACACCCATAATTGGCATTAATTTGCATAAGCAGTTTTTTATCATTTTTTTCATATTATGAACATTTTCAAGTGTCATTTAAAATTTTTAATGGTTGTGTACTCTTTGATTCCTTGGGTTATGAAAATTTTTAAGTTGCTATTGAGGTAATATATTTAGCATATATATCCACATTATGCATAATGTCCTCTCTTGTCATTGTCATAGAGATTTTAGTGAAACACTTTCTTATTTGAAGGTGCACACCAGACTAGAGACAGTGAAAGGACTTAAATGTTATAGATAGGGCTATTTAGCATAATAGTTTATAAATATGTATAAGTGATTAAGGAAAGTTACTAGTTCAGGACAGTGTCTTAATTTTGTTTCTACAGCTTTATAGTTTAAAACAATGTGCATGCATATAGGAAAGTTGGGAAACCTAAAATGCTTTGTTTCCAGAGAAAGTAGTGTCAAGTTTTTAAACCTGATCTTATGATTTAGAATGAATAAACTTGAACATGCACTAAAATTAGCATCATCTGAAACCTTTTCAGATTTTTTATTTCTGCAACTTTTCAAATGTTTTTCCTGACTTTTTTCTTTTCATCTTTGAGCACAGGTGTGGGTTAAAACAGGCTTCATATTTTTATGACTAATTTATAGGGAGCCTCTCAAAGTAATGTTTTTAAAGACTTTGTTAAGTGTGTCCAGGAAATCTTTTTAAGCTATTTTTCTAAGTAGTTTTTGCCTAACAAACCATTATATTTTGCCAAGAGTAAAATAAAATATCTGTGTTCAGTTACTTAAACAAAAACATCGCAAGATTTAGTAATTCTAAGTTAACACCTTTAGGAGAAAATTGTAAATACTAAGTTTTGTTTTTGTTTTCTTTTCTTTGTTGTGAAGAGTACCAGATGATAAAACTATTAATGAAATCTTAAGAACTTACATTGACCCAGAAAAGTCTGATCCTGTAATACGCCAAAGGTATGTTTTTAAAATATCGTCACTTTCTGAAATTACATAAAATGTTGAGGTATTTGTTAGGTGCATATTTACTATAGAAAGTCATGAGTTTATTAGAATGGAATGAGTCATTGCCACTTTCTGTCCCTTTCCTTGGTTTTTACTCAAGGCTCTGTCAGACAGAGATGTTACTTTTGGATAGTAATAACAGTAGTCCGTACTATGTTCTTTACTATGTTCCTGACACTCTTTACTATGTTCCTGACACTCTTTGAAGCAGATAATAATACATGTAATTCATTTAATTCTCACAATAGCCAATTAAGGTAGATTACTGGTATGATGCCCATTTTTGCAGAAAGGGAAACTGAGCTGTGAAGAAGTTAAATGACTTCATATAGCTAATAAGCAAGGAAGCTGGGATTCAAACCCAGGCAGTCTGGAGTCATTGCCCACACTCAACCTTTAAACTAAAATGCCTTTCAAGTTGAACCCAAAACTGAAAATTAGGAGTTTCCAAGTAACTGTTACAGATAGGAAATCCTGTTTCAGCCAACTTTTCATAAAACTACGTAAGATATACTCTGTCTCCTGTCCAGAAATACAGCATGGACAAAAATAATTAATATAGCATAGTGGAAAGAGTCAGTATGAATGTGTGGGTTAGAAAAGCTAGCTCCGTGCCTTATTAGCTGTGTGCTCAGGAGCAAGTTACTTAATTTTTTTTCCATTATTAAAATGAGATTGATTATAATCTACTGGATAGGGTTGTTATAAAGCTTTAAAAATAGCATATTTTTCCTAGTACAGTGAAGTTCCTAGCACATAGTAGGCAGTGCTTTAAAAAGGAAACTATTATTAGAGTATGAATTATTAGTGTTCCTGGGCAGGAACCCAGTTGACTTTCTTTTCACCAGATGGTACCTGTTTGGGACATGAATGTTTGGTTTGTTTCCAGAGTAACCTGGTATTTAAAATTTATATTGAGTGAATTCTGAAATGTCTGATTCCGTTCAAGTTCAGTCTCTTCATCTACTTTTAATAAAAGATAGTGCCCAAACCAAACCAGATCCATGTCATATACCAAATAGTGTCTTGAGACAGGTATAATACTTGAGTTTTATTCTAGTTACTGATAATTCAGTTGTTATCATATATTTAGCAATAAAACAAAATATCCTCCACTAAATTGCATACATTAAAAAAAATCAAATAGCAAGATTAATTTACTGAAATAGTTATTTTTTAATTTAAGTTCTTTATACAGAGAGAAGAAAAGGTGATTTTTAAAAATTCAGATCTTCGGTTAGAAAAATATCTGTAACTTTTTCTGTGCTTGTGTAGATACATTTTAAATATTGTTAGCTACTCATAAGTGGTCTTTCATGGACACTATTTTAAATATATTAAAAATCAATTTTGCTTTTTCAATGTGACATTTTTATTTCAGGTTGAAAGCCTACATTCGTTCTCAGACTGGGGTCCAAATTTTAATGAAGGTCGAAAATATGCAGCAAAATTTAGTCAGGTAAAATTGCTTCCCTCCCATTTCTTTAAATATTTTATAATTCTGCACTATAATTAATTAACTTAATTAGCTTCAGTAGCTAGTTATTATACTAATTATATGGCTATTAATAAAGCCTGAGCTTTAAAAATGACTTTCAAATTAAAATTTTAAAATAATCACCCTTATAGTTTAAATTTGGTTGAAAAATCACCCTGGTTGGAATATTTTAAAATAACATTATGTGCAACTAAAAGATTTCTAAGTTGCATTTTAAGTTATTTCAAGAAGTAGTCTTTGCAACAGAGTTCCAATGTTCAAGATGTTTTTAGAAATGCAAAACTTCTTGTGACCAACTGATTGTTGCATATAGTGCAGTAAAAAGAACACTGCATAGCAATGTGAAGGGAGACAGGTGCTAACAAACTGGGGGGTGGTTTGGTCAAGTTATCAGCATCACTGGGCTCTGTTCCTTCTTAAATGGAAAGAAGCAGACTACACTAAGTGATCTCTGCGACCCCTGCCCGTAACATCAGTACCAGTTCTGTGTCGGCTACTGAATTGCAAAACACTGATCTTTTAAGACTTCTGATGCTTTTCCATTTCCATTGTTCAATTAACAAAACTACTAGATCCAATTCAAACTAGATCTGGTTGTCTACAATTTGATTTGCGGGTTTGGCTTAGAGCAGAGGTTCTCAACCTTCCTAATGCCACGACCCTTTAATACATTTCCTCATGTTGTGGTGACCCCCAACCATTAAATTATTTTTGTTGCTACTTCATAACTGTAATTTTGCTACTGTTATGAATCGCCATCGGAAATATGTGTTTTCCAATGGTCTTAAGTGACCCCTGTGAAAGGGTCGTTCCACCCCCAAAGGGGTTCTGACCCACAGGTTGAGAACCGCTGGCTTAGAGGTTTGAAAGTCTAAGCTGTGAAAGCAGAGCTGCTTATGAACCCCAGCTCTGCCGGCTACCAGTTATGTTAACAAGTAAATTATATAACCTCACTTGCCTTAGTTTTCTCATGTCTAACATGGGGATGATAATTATAAGATTGTCACGAGAGATTGAAGTGAGTCATTTAGTACATGGTAAGTGTGTGCTTTTATAACTATTGCTACTACTACTAACTACTACAGATAAATGGATTCTTACAAATGGTCTACACATAAAATTATAAGGCTTTTATAGGTAGGTAAGAATGGATCTAAACACGTAATCTTGACTGCTTTTCTGACCAACATAGTATCTCAAATATCCCTAGCTTTGTATCATTGATTATGGTTTATTGATGAAAGGTCCAAGTTTTCTGTCCCATAGTCTTTTCCCTAGACTTATTAATTCAATATATTTACCTGCAGTTCATGTTTTAACTCTGCTTCTTCCCCTAAAAGATTTGGGGTCCAAATTATGGTAGGTTAGAAAGTTCTGTGGCTTCTGCAAAGATAGTTATCCAGAGTTACAACATCCATGTTAACCAAAATCAATTATTTCTGAAATTAATAATCACTTATGTAATTAATGAGAAATACTGATGTAAAAAGTACAGTTTTTCAGTTTTGTTTAGCAAAATCCTAAAGTGAATTCCATATAACTCATGTTTAAACAAAATAATTTGCATTGCTCCCTCAGAATTTACCTTTGGTCAATCATTAATTAATGTTTTCTTCTTTTACTATCTCTGTTTCCTCTTCCAAATTTAGTTCCTCTTCTAACATGCATTGTATTTTATCTAGTTAGTTCATGTAAACGTTATTCTTTTTTTATACTTTGGTGCATTCTTGAGTATATTATGGTTTCCGTCTCATAAGCCTACTAAGAGAACACCTGTCTGAGGGTTTTTATGAAAAGTGAAATTGCTTTTTGGATAGTTGTCTTATCTCAGTTTTCTTGGCCTGGAACTAATGTATGTTTTCCCAGTCTTCTGACAACCTGGTAATATGTCCAACTATTCTAACACTGCAGCACCCTTCTGAGCTTTTGCCAGCTCCTTGTCATAGCCTGCTGGTGTGGGGACAATATGTAAATGGCTCCAGGAGGAATGGAAGGGAGACAGTGTAAGTGCTATCCATCTTGGTTCAGGAAATTCTTAAATGCAATAAAAGAATAAAACTGTTGCCCTGGCCGGTTTGGCTCAGCAGTTAGAGCGTCGGCCTGCGTTCCGGAGAGACCCGGGTTCGGTTCCCGCTAAGGGCATGTACCTCGGTTGCACTTTGTCCCCGACCCTGGTTGGGTCGTGCAGGTGGCAGCCACTCGATGTGTCCCTTTCACGTCGATGTTTCTCTCTCTCTCTCTCTTCCTCTCTCTCCCTCCCACTCTATCTGTGCAAAAAATGGAAAAATGTCCTCGGGTGAGGATAAAAAAAAAGAATAAAACTGTTTGCCTAATCATTTCCTTTGTGTGTGCTTATCTGACCTTGAATAATTACAAATAGTAGTTACTGTTTTAATGGCTGTGTGAATGGGCTTATTTTTTTTTTCTAGAAGCTCCTTGAAACCCGAAGTCTTTTTATGTTTTAATTTTTTTTTTTTCTTTATTGATTTTAGAGAGGGATGAAAGGGAGGGAGAGAGAATACCCATTGGCCTCCTCCTGTATGCCACTCACAGGGGATTGGGCCCACAACCTGGGCATGTGCCCTGACCGGGAATCAAACTGGCGACTTCTTGGTGCATAGGTCTATGCTCAGCCACTAAACCACACTGGCTGGGCTATTTTATTTTTTAAGTTAATATGTATTTGAAACACCAGATATAATATTAAATAAAAATATCTATTTTTGGCATCAACTTGATCACAGTCACCTTATTTACCTAATCAGTAGGATGATTAAACTTCTTTACCAAAGTTAGGAAAGCTAAATGTAAATAGTTTTGATATAACTGATAAGAACAAAATATTTTTTGTTTTGGTTTATTACAATCTTTTGTTTGTCTTTTATTTTGTTTTTGTTTCTATTTTTATTTCCTCCATTACCTGAAAGGGAAGATTTGTTATATTTCCATTATAAGTTAAGTTAAACTGGGCCGTGGCCTGTGGAGAAATGTGCCAGCTCACTAAACCAGTTAGACTTGAATCTTTGGCAAAATATTCTCTTCTTCCAAAATGCAAGGAAACCCAAACTGTATGTAATAAAAGGTAAATGTAAGATACTGAGTATTTTATTTTTTTAATCCTCACCCGAGGACATTTTTCCATCTTTTGTACAGATAGAGTGGGAGGGAGAGAGAGGAAGAGAGAGAGAGAGAGAGAAACATCAACGTGAAAGGGACACATCGAGTGGCTGCCACCCGCACAACCAACCAGGGCCAGGGACAAACTGCAACCGAAGTACGTGCCCTTAGCGGGAACCGAACCCGGGTCTCTCCGGACCGCAAGCCGACGCTCTAACTGCTGAGCCAAACTGGCCAGGGCGATACTGAGTATTTTAAAGTGTATACTATAGGACAGACTGCTTGGGCCCAGATATCATTCCTCTTTCACTTGGAAATATGTGTTATAAATTCATGAAGAGGTCAAGGGGATGGAGATCTCAGCTTGTCCTAGCAGACCAAGGTTTTCTAGGAGTGTGGCAGGAGTGGGTGACGTGATCTGGGGGCAGTGGTTGGGAAAACCATTTCATGCAGTTGTGTAGAAGGAAGTCAGGATATATAGAGGCCAGAACACAGGAGGATGCCAGTAGATTGTCATGGTTTATTTTAACAGAGTCAAAGAGAGTAAACCTGAACTAAGAAAAAGGTCAAGAAATGCACTGAAATGACGGTCAGATAACCTAATTCTAGACACAACTTCTCTGTGCTTCATTTTCCTTAGATCCTTTACTTTCATTTTATAACCTTTCTTCTCTAAGAACCCAGGAAGGGCCAAAGTTAGGACTTGGGTTAATCTTTATCCCCAAAAGAGAGGAAATAATTGATTAATAAAGGAAAAGGTGAATGGTGTTAACTTTAAGGAAAACCTAGAATAGGCTGCTTTGACACTAAGCTTTAGCCAGATTGAGGAACATAAGAAGTATTCACCTTATCTATGTAGAAAACTTTTCAGATTTTTCCATTTGAGTTGTTTACTTGAACTCAGTGTGACATGAAAATGCCACCAAAGAAGAGGAAGCAGATGGCTACAACCTAGGTCCAGGAATTTTGGATTTAAAAATTGCCACCTTATTTAACTTTGAGTAGCGATGGCATCACTTTAAGGCAGTAATAATGTCAGAAACTCCTATTGAGGTAGCTTTTATCCTAAGTTGGGGTAAGGTACATTCTTTTATTTCTGATTAAGTCAGCCTCAAGATACAGTTATCCTAATGTCTACAAAACTCCCCAGTATTTATAAGTATTTTCTAACCGTGAATAATGAAAATAGATATTATGGGGGTACATTTAGAAATATTTGATTTAATTTTTAACTGAATATTTTTAAAACCATAGTGTTCTCCAGATAATATATTCACAGATAGCTAGGATGAGCATTTACATTTGATTGTATACTTAATTACAGTTATACCGTTAAAGGAAAGTTCATTCAGAGAACATCTAAGTAAGATTATTATAGGTTATAAAATGTTAGGTTTCTAATTTAAGATAAGCATGCTAAATAGGAAGATTTTTATTATTTTCTGAAATGTGCTTAGAAGGCAAAAAGAAATAGTTTCCTTATGGTTGTTTGATTTTAAATGTATCTTATGATTTAGAGCATTCCAGTAACTTCAGAGTGAAGTCGTCTTACCAAATACTTAACATTGCCAGTTTCCACTGGTTGTGTTTTCCCTTTTTTGAGGATTTGTAACAACTGTCTCATGATACACCTCATCAGTGGAGCAGTCTTAAATGTTTCCAGGATTTAGCTTTGCCGTACACAGCTTATATTTTTAGATTTAGGTGATCATGAACACATGTCTAACCCTAAGAAATTTGCCGTTGATCTGTTTGGGAGTTTTCTTTCCAGGGTTTGAATTAGTCTTCTTATAAAAGCTAATATGGCTTAAGTAAAATCTTTTATTCATTCAGCCAACACTTAG